TTTTTTAAATTGCGTGATTTTTAGCCCACTTTTTCTTGGCACCCATTGATCTCTTTGAATCTGAATTTTCTCACCATTCCCCACTCTCCAGATCAAGCCCTTCTTGAGTAGCTCCAGTCCATGTTCGATCCCTCTCCACGCTTGTGAGGCGTCCGAGGCGAACACTGTGTCAAGCAGGTCACCTTTTGGGTAGTACTTAGAATTTACGTTAGCCTTCGTAAGTGTAGCATTATCGATATAATAGTCAACCCTCCCCTCTCCCGCTCAATCTCACCTACTTTCGCTCTCTACCCCCGTTAAAAACCGAAATCCAAGCTTCGCGAATGCACGTCGCCACCGCACCCCCGCCAACCTCCATCGCCGGGCGGGCGGAGGGTCTGTAGCCTCTGGCGACTCGGCCACCCGCAGTGCACCACCACAGGGCGACCATGTTGGCTTTGTGTATGTGGGGTCCAACGCGGAGGATGCAGCCATGCCCGAAGCGGGCTTTGCGCAGTCCGTCCGTGCTCCGGGCTGCAGCGGACAGCGCCCTGCAAGCCGCTGGTCACGCGGTTATAGCTGCCGGCATTGCGGCCTTCAACCTCGATGAATGTAAAAGTTATTAAGACAGGCTAATCTAAAGTCATAACAGGCTAATCTAAATGCAACGAAAAGTATCCTGCGTTAAACCTATTGCTATGTTTATTTCTTTCTTTTTGCAAAACTCTATTGCTATGTTGATATGGACAATTAAGAGTCCCAACAGATGGGAGCCCCAGATTTGAAAGGGCTCCATTGGATCGGTCATCAGCATAATTCGTGTAGCATATGGCATCTCGCATCAAATTTACGGTGATTTATTTAGCATATGGAAACAGGCTCGGCGGTGTCCGATCACTGTCCGTTGTTGCTGGATCTCAATGCCGATCTATTTATGGGGCGTAGGTTCAAGTTCAAGGCCTTCTGGACGAAGGCCGAGGGGTTCATGCAGAAGGTGCAAGACGCGTGGAGCTCGGTCCCAAGTGAGGGCAACCCTTTTGTGGCGCTTGATGCAAAGTTGAGGGCGACGGCGAAGAGCCTTAAGAAATGGAGCGGCCGTTGGATAGGCAATGTGAAACTGCAGATTGGCATAGCTATGGAGATCATTTTTCAACTGGACAAAGCGATGGAGTCAAGAATGTTGTCGGAACCGGAAAGGGCACTACGCAAGCTACTGAAGCAGAAACTGCTTGGCCTCTGTTCACTGGAGTGTACCATCGCGCGACAGAGATCGAGGATCCTTGTTCTACGAGCGGGCGACGCCAACACTAGCTTCTTCCATCAGAGTGCGTGTCATCGACAGCGGAGAAACATGATGACGGCAGTTCGGCATGGGGATAAGGTTGCCACTGGGCAGGAGGAGATCGCCACGGAGGTGGATGAATACTTTTCCAAAGTGTTTGGGAAGCACCGGTGAGGACGCACACGCTTGATCTTGGAGTGGTTCATTTACCATCGCGAAATCTGTCATAGCTTGAAGCCCCGTTCACCGCAGAAAAGGTGGAGAAGATAGTAAAATCAATGCCTATGGATAAAGCGCCGGGACCCGATGGCTTCACGGGTCATTTTTATGCGACGTGTTGGAGCATACTACGGGAGGATTTCATGCGAGCTTTGGAGGCTTTTTACCTAGCTGACACGAGAGGACTACAGGCACTCAACAAAGCAATTGTGGTTTTGCTGCCGAAAAAGGATGGGTCCATGGATATCGAGGACTACAGACCTGTTAGTTTTGGTGCATGGAGTGATCAAAATATTCGACAAGATCCTATCTTCGAGACTAGCGGTGGAGCTGGCCTTCCTAGTGGGGAACCATCAATGTGCACTCGTCAAGGGGCACTCTATCCACGACAATTTCATGCTTGTGCAATGCACAACGCGGCGACTACACGCCCTTCGAGAGCAGGCGGTCATGCTTAAATTGGATATATCAAAGGCATTTGATTCGGTGCAATGGACTTTTCTACTGGAAGTGCTAACGGCTATGGGTTTTGGGTCTCGCTGGGTGGGCTGGATTTGTGGGCTTTTAGCTACATCATTGACACGGATTATGTCGAATGGAACTCCTGGAAGGCCAATCACCAATCGCATTGGGCTATGGCAGGGGGACCCGGTATCCTCTATGTTGTTTATCATGATCATGGAGCCGCTGCACCGCATGTTCAAGCTTGCATCCACAAGAGGAATGCTTGCCCCTCTAGCAAGAACTAGGCTGAAGCACCGGCTATCGATGTTCGCAGATGATGTTGACATATTTGTCAAGCCAGATGAACTGGGCATGTCCACTTGTGTGTCGCTCCTCAAGATCTTTGGTGAGGCCTCGGGGCTACGAGTCAACCTGGCCAAAAGTGCAGCTTACTCCATTCGATGCCCGGCGGAAACAATGGAAACAGTGGAACGAGTTCTTGGCTGCCCTAGGGGGTATTTCCCGTGCAAGTACTTGGACCTCCCACTAACCCTACGGAAACAATTGGCTGCACAATTATCTTATCTTGTGGAGACCAACTAGCTGGAGCGCTGCCAAGGTGGAAAGCGGCTAAAATGCCCAAGAGTGGTCGGCTACTGCTGATTCAGTCAGTTCTTTGTGCGATGCCCCTACACACAATGCTTGCTCTCGATCTACCTAAGAAAACAATTGCCGCGCTAAACAAAATCTGCCGAGGCTTCCTATGGTGTGCTAAGGCAAATGCCGCCGGTGGCAACTGCGACGTAGCATGGGAGAAAGTGTGCTCGCCAAAATGGGCGGGATGCCTAGGCATTCCTAATCTTCAGTGGCTCAACACCGCATTGCAAGCCCGATGGCCATGGATGCAGAAGTCTGACAAGGAGCGACCCTGGGCTGAATTCCATATCCAAGTCTTGCCAGCGGCTCGCCAACTGGTTAGCTCTGCCGCGAGAACAAGTGTTGGCAATGGGCAAAGCGCCCTTTTTTGGGAAGATAGATGGTTGGGTGGATATTGTGTGGCTGACCTTGCGCCCACCATACATGCTAGAGTGCGGACTCGGACGCGGTTGACCTGCACGGTCGCGAGGGCGCTCCAAGACAGTGCTTGGGCTCGGGATGTGGACCCAGAGGTGAATGCAACGACTCTGCAGTTGTACCTTACTTTATGGACATGGACTACCGGGATAGAGCTCGAGCAGACGCAACAGGATGAGGTTCTATGGTCCTGGGAAACAAGTGGCACCTTCACCACGTGGTCAGCATATGCCGCCATGTTTTGGGGACGTTAAGTTGACCCAACAGCGGAGTTCACTTGGAGCGCTAGGGCACCACTCGGTGTCGTTTTTTCGCATTGCTGGCACTGCAGAATAGATGTTGGACCTCGGACCGGCTAGCACGGAGAGGTCTCGACCATCAGGACCATTGCCCGCTGTGCAACTAGGAGGAGGAAGGAATTGACCACTTACTTATACGCTGTGTTTTTGCGAGGCAGATTTGGGCAGCAATTTTCCAGGCTCTGGGCAGGCCGGATTGGGTACCGACAGTGGACGGCACTCTACCGGGATGGTGCGCTAGCAAGGGCGCCAATGGGACACAAGAGGATGCTCAATGCTCTGCGCATCCTAGTGATGTGGGAAATTTGGAAACACCGTAATGCAATTGTGTTTGAGGGAGCTACACCATCGACGAACTATGTCATCCATAGGATCACAGAGGAAGGGCGCAATTGGAAGCAAGCGGGACTACTAAATGGAGACCTTGCTGGATTCTTCGATCAGGTGGACCGGTGGGCTAGTGTGTAAGTTAGCTTAGTCCTAGAGGGTACGGTGTATAGGTGGATGATGCTGTTCATGTAAAAGCGTGTAACAATGTCGTGGAGGGGCTCTTTACCCCCACTCTTTTCTTTATAATATAGTACGCACACTCGTGCGTATTCGAGAAAGAGAAAAGTGGAATGCAAATAAAGCAGCAACTGGATGGAATCATATCAACTGCATGAGAAGCGACATAGCAATTGACCTTGAGTACATTTCTTTTTGTTTTGGAGGGACCTTCAACACATTTTTCACAAGAAAAGAGGAGTCCCTGATCCCAGACAAGATCAATGTGTCTGCACCTCAAAGATCTCACCAAAAACTGGAGGATAATACCTTTTTTTTAAAACAAATTCAAACAAATGCGAAACCATTTTTAAAAGGATTTTTTGTACATGTTCATACAGCTCCTGCCGATTTTCATGCAATTGTACTTCCTCAGGGGAAAAAAGACAGTTGAAGCGCCAGAAAATAAGCACACAACTTGTTTTCGTACTGGTCGAAATGCTTGGGTTTCCCGTAGCGATTTGCAAATGACATCTTAATGTCTGAATTTTTCATATTTTTTCACATTTATAAAAGCGTTTCTGGCACGCAGGAGCATATGCTCCCTTGAGCCGAATTGAATAACTGCCAAAAACTAAGATATATAGATAGATCTCCGTTACAACAATATGATTGGATAAACCAATTCTATTATAGTTCACAAACATGTCACACGGCATGTATATACATGCATAATAACAAACACTGGTTTGTTCACGCATCCATCACACATAATCTACGACAATAAATCCATCATTACATGTTCATTAATTATATAACTGCTCAAACAAAACAGAAACACGGCTCACGTCGGCGCCATCCTTTTTATTCAAGAAACATTCAGTACTTGCTTATTATTAAGAGGGCGCCCAACAAACTGTAGCATATGCATCGTTCCTGCCATCAGTACAAGACACAAATCAATCCATAATTATAACAGAAATACCTCGCTCGTGTCATGTACTCCCTCCATTCGGAATTACTTGTCGCATAAATGGATGTATCTAGACTTATTTTAGTTTTAGATACATCCATTTTCAAGACAAGTAATTCCGAACGGAGGGAGTAGCATGCATCTACTTTTTGTTTGAGCGGGTATGTCTATTTGCATGAGAAGAAACAAACGGCAGTTGACAAATCAAACAGTTCTAGTGAAACTGAACTGGAGCGGCAGGAAATTAATACAGTACATGGCAAGCGCAGGAGATAGAGTAGAAGAACTTACACCAGGCAACGATCTTCCAGCGCTGGTTGTCGCCCTCAGTCCACTCCCACAGAATGAGGGTGGTTCCATCGCGCACACCGCCATGGTCCTTGTCGCCATGGAGTGCATCAAAGTTCAAGTAGATGTTGTTCACCATCCTGATGCAGCGGTAGCCTTCTCCGACGTCCCTGCTCTCGGTCCAGAGGACCGATTCATCCAGGGTGTTTGGATTGTACCTGGTCAGAAGAACCTATGATCCAAAACACAAACAGGAAGGTGAGCAAATTCACAATACTGGAGCTGCACTTCAGGGTTGAGCAGGAGCACATGACCATGTGACAACTCATGGCGTACCAAATTAGTCTGGAACCAATGTTAGTCCTTCTGTCTAACGAGTTCACCAATTTATTTTAGAGCTAGAGTCTCTCTACACTGCAGTGCTCATGGACAACCGTAAAATTACTGTGATATATGTCCACATGGATGCTAATGTGGAAGGCCATAACAGAACACAATCACAGCAGGTATTACATTGACATTTTGTTACAAAATTTGTTGAACAAGACAGGGCACATGCACACACGTGGAAGTGTTGTCATAGTTATGGTCTTGTATGGCAATGTGAAACACCGTAGCAGATTTAAGTTTTTGACACTGACATAATTTACAACGTTTGCTGAACATGACACCTACTAGGCAAATATTATTCCCAAGAACAGGGAGAAATTTCACTCATGCTGGACTAGTTTACATCATTTTAGACAAAAATCACTAAATCCCAGTGGTGATTATTCACTGAAACACCACAGGTCACACTGCCAATAAGCTCAAAGTGTTTCTGTTCATTCGAGCTTTTGCCCATTCTGTTTTTCATGTGCTGAAACCACTGCTAGTATGAATGCAGAGAAAGTACGCATTTGGAATGTGTGGTATGTTGTGTGCTTGCAGATCTGATATGTCTAAAATTGCCAAAATCATGTAAGATCTACTGTGCACACACGAATCCGATAGCAAAAATTAGAAGTTGGATGGATGGATGAGCTGAAGCGAGGTTAGTTACAGGGTGAGATTGGCCGAGGGAGTGCTTGAGCGCCTCTCCGCTGGCCTTGTTGACGAGTGCCATGGCAGAGTAGCCTTCCTCATCCTTCACCCTTATGCTGTACTTCATGTCCTTGATCCAGTGCTGCATCAGAGGTGTATATTCAAATCCATCAACCACATGATCAGGGAAGAAATAAGAACACATAAAAAAGTTGCTTGAGCAAAATCCAAACAGGATTGTTGCTTTTCCCCGATAAGAAAAAAGGACATCCCAGAAACGCCAAGTTTTCAGATCCCGATGGCAAGTTCACGTAGCCAATCTTCGATCGATCTTGCAGAGGTGTATGTGTGTGTACCTGCGTGTCGTCATCGCGATCGGTGCGGACGAGGCAGACCTTGCCGTCCCTGGCGGCGAGGCTGAAGCTTTCCTCACCGGCCTTGCAGAGGATCCTGTACGTCGGCTGCCTGATCGCCGGGGGCGCCATTCCGCCGCCGCCTCCGCCGCCGTGGTGCGGGCGTGTCTCGTGTATGAGCGGTCCAACGCGGCCTCGTGTATGAGCGGTCCAACGCGGAGGACGCAGCGGAAATTCCTATTTGCCGCTCTTTGCGGCGCGGCAAGTAGGAAATCCGGCAAGTAGTCGACCGGACGCGCACACAGGGCAGATCGACCAGCGTTAGGATGGGCCAGCCCGTTCAAACATTAAAGCGAATCTGTTTTTGGGAATCTTCTAGGTGGTTCCCAGCCAGTTTTCTGGTTCTGGTAACCTTCTAGAAGGTTCATGAACCGGTTTTTCTATTTTTACCTTTATCTCTTTTTGTTTTTTTTCTTTTACTGTTTCTTTTTCTTTTTTATTTTAATTTCCTTTTTCTTTTCTTTTCTTTGTTGTTTCATTTTTTTCTTTTTCTTGAGAATTTCAAATGTTTATTCGGAATTTTATGGAAATTTCTCATTTTCGAAATTTGATCCTAATTTAAAAAAATGTTCTGAAATTTCAGAAAATGTTCCCTTTTCAAATTTTGTTCACAATTTCTAAAAATGTTCGTGCTTCAAAAAGCCTTTCAGGAATTTCAAAATGTTTTTGTTCGAAAATATTGTGCAAAATTTCAAAAAAAGTTCGTGGTTTAGAAAATGTTCAGTAATTTCACAAAAATGTTCTTCTTTCGATTTTTTTATGTTCACGTTTCTAAAAAATGTTCGTAAATTCAAATGATATTTATTTATTAAATTTGGTTCCTATTTCTTCAAAAAATGTCGGTGTCACATGAATTTTTTTCTTTTTTGAAGAAATCACGTTTGAAATTTGAAAATAAATTGAAACTATCGCGGCTGATAGTTCATATCAACTCAGATGCCACCTTGTTGCATGGTTTTGAGTTCGATCCCTTCCAAGCGCTTAT